GTGTGGTACTAAGTGTCCCCCTCGCCCAGGCTGGCCATGTAATCAGTAGTCTACACTAGTGAACTTAGTAAGCATTATGACGACATCCTCTAAACTAACTACTCTTGCTTCCCAGACTGGGATTTCTGCCCCTCACTGCCCGCCATGTCAACAATTATGTTTTTTTCCGTGTTTTGCTATTCAGCCGCACCTCAAAGTGCAAATATCCACGTTCAGCCCCTCGACCACGTGTTGTTCAGCTGTAACAAGAGCCATCACCTGAGGAACCACCTACGGACCTGTCACTGTCAAATGCAGCCGATGATCTAATTCATAAAGATTGCCCATCTCTAATAGTAATAATTTCCATACCAAAATAAAATGCCCACACATTAATAAAGAAAGAGCTGTGATAAGTAAAATATACTGTACTTTTGAAAGTACAGACAAAAGTATGAAAACCACTGACCTCTGCGCCTCCAGGTGGCAGAATATCAAACTACGCGGAAACCTTTACATAATAATAATAATAATAATAATAATAATGTTCATTCAGATAAAAGTACATACATACAAGATGTTACAAACAGAATGTTGGATTTCTAGATAGGGCCAGTATATACTATGATTAGAACCCGTCCTCCACTTAAGTCAGTTACATCCGGCGGTCGACCTCACAGTTGCATTCACAAATTTTTACATGCTGCATATTCAAAACGGTTTTTACTCAAATATATATTAATATTATAATATATTAGTATATTGTGCATATATAAGCATAGGTTAGGTGTTTAGGTTCTGTTGGCGATTATTTGTATTTGTAGTACGTGGGTGAAGCATTTACAGCGTTGTGGTTCGAACAAAATTTGTCAGTGAAGCACTTGTTCCGGAAGTGTTCGAACGAAATCAGTTGGGAGTCGTGTGTAAACCGTTTTTCATTCATAAACAGCGGGTTTGGTGGGTGGATGGAATCACTTTTGGGTCTTTGTATGGAGGACGGGCTGTAGGATTAAAGCCCCTAGTTCGTACAGCGTCTCGGGCAAGGGACATAAAACAGACAGCCCGTCCTCCAAACAAAGATCCAAAAGTGATTCCATGCACCCGCCAAACCCCCTGTTTATGAATGAAAAGCGGTTTACACACGACTCCAACTGCTGACGTTCGAACATATTCGGAACAAGTGCTTCACTGACGAATTTTGTTCGAATCACAACGCTATAAATGCTTCACCCACGTACTACAAATACAAATAATCGCCAACAGAACCTAAACACCTAACCTATGCCTATATATACACAATATGCTAATATATTATAATATTAATTTATACTTGAGAAAATTCCCGTTTTGAATGAACAGCATGTTAAAATTTATGAATGCGTCTGTGGGGTCGACCGCTGGATGTAATGGACTTGAGTCGAGGACGGGTTGCTTTAAGAGATGCGCTTCGAACATTTGAAGTCATTGATCCTTGATTATTATCGTCTCGGGTTAGCACATTATACGTATACAAAATTAATACTAGAGTTTTCTTCTACGTTATTGAGGGATCAGGAACAGAATCACATCATATGGACACTTTATTTTGGAAGCCAGAAGAGTGTATAAACTTTTATATTCAAAATACTGGAGCCTTTACAGAAGCAGAGGGGTCTCTGAGTCAGAGCCTGCCACTCTCAGAGCCACAGAGCCTGCCACTCTCAGAGCCACAGAGCCTGCCACTCTCAGAGCCACAGAGCCTGCCACTCTCAGAGCCACAGAGCCTGCCACTCTCAGAGCCACAGAGCCTGCCACTCTCAGAGCCACAGAGCCTGCCACTCTCAGAGCCACAGAGCCTGCCACTCTCAGAGCCACAGAGCCTGCCACTCTCAGAGCCACAGAGCCTGCCACTCTCAGAGCCACAGAGCCTGCCACTCTCAGAGCCACAGAGCCTGCCACTCTCAGAGCCACAGAGCCTGCCACTCTCAGAGCCACAGAGCCTGCCACTCTCAGAGCCACAGAGCCTGCCACTCTCAGAGCCACAGAGCCTGCCACTCTCAGAGCCACAGAGCCTGCCACTCTCACAATAAATGTTTGTGGTGGAGACAGACATGGCTGGATAAGACGCGACTCTGATACCCACGAGCATCTCTGCAACCCGAACCACACAGTTACTCCTGACAAACAACTCATTCAGTCAGATTGGTTGTTACAGCAATTCAATCTCCTTATTATGCACCCCATACCCATCCCGTGGGCGGTGGTGGAAAGGGTTACAGAAGCACATAATCGGTTCAGGAACTGAACCCTCTAGTTCGTTTAGCTAAGCAAATCACAATCTTTTGATGCTAGTTACACAATTATTAATGCATATATATATTTGATCTTTTGTATGACAAGTGGTTCAACAAGAGGCTCACAAGAGTCACTATACAAGGCACTTGACATGTATGGTGAGTGACAGTTACTAGTGTTGCTCCACACCCACCCAACTACAGCGATGGGCTCCCTTCCTGCAGGGTTGGTGGTGTGTGGGTGATGGCGTCACTGATCGGTCACTCCGGCCTCGTATCCCAGCTCATAATCTGATCCCACATCCTTACCAAATGTCGTATACTCCTACTGGCTCCTCCTCTGTCAGTGGAGGCTGACTCCATACACAGTTTCAAATGTAGATATGACAGAGCCCAATAGGTTCAGGAACCTGTACACCTGTTGATTGACGGTTGAGAGGCGGGACCAAAGAGCCCGAGCTCAACCCGCAAGCACAACTAGGTGAGTACACACTCGCACATTCACATACACACATGCGGGGATTGAACTTTGGCTCTTTGGTCCCGCCTCTCAACCGTCAATCAACAGGTGTACAGGTTCCTGAGCCTATTGGGCTCTGTCATATCTACATTTGAAACTGTGTATGGAGTCAGCCTCCACCACATCACTGCCTAATGCATTCCACCTGTTAACTACTCTGACACTGAAAAAGTTCTTTTTGATGTGTCTGTGACTCATTTGGGTACTCAGCTTCCACCTGTGTCCCCTTGTGCGTGCACCACCCGTGTTAAATAATCCATCCTTGTCTACCCTGTCAATTCCCCTGAGAATTTTGTATGTGATGATCATGTTTTCCCGAACTTTTCTGTCTGCAAGGGACGTGAGGTGCAGTTCACGCAGCCTTTCCTCATAACTCGTGCCTCTTAGTTTTGGGACTAGCTGGGGAGTGAGTGAGTGGGTCGGACGGACGGAAGGACTGACATAGAGTAAGTAACATGCGGGTGCGTGAAGGATCGGGTCCCATACTATTCCGCATTTGTTAGCGACTTGACTGCAGGAGTCGAGTCTTATATGTTAATGTTTGCAGATGATACAAAACTAATGAGGAGGATTGTAACATTCTCCAGGATGACTTGAACAGGTTGCCGAGATGGTCCCAGAAATGGCTGCTATAGTTCAACACCAACAAGTGCAAGGTGATGGAAACTGGATCAAGAGCAGATCAAAAGGCCAATACATGATAAAGGGAAACTTCTTCCCTATAACAACAAGAGAAAAGGATCTGGGAGTGGACATACCACTGAACCTAACTCCAGAGGCTCATATGAATAACGGCAGCCGCATACTTTACTCTGGCAAAAGTCAGAACATCCTTCAGAAACTTGGATAAGGAGGCTTTTAGATCACTGTATACCGCCTATGTGAGGCCAGTCTTGGAGTATGCCGCCCCATCTTGGAGACCCCATCTAAAAAAAAAAAATAAGGAAACTTGGAAAAAGTGCAGAAGTTTGCAACGAGATTCGTCCCAAGAATTGCGAGGGATGAGGTACGAAGAGACTGAAGGAACTAAACCTGACGACGTTGGACAGGTGAAGGGAGAGCAGGGACATGCTACAGACGTATAAAATACTTACAGCGATTGACAGAGTGGAAACAAAGGAAATGTTTACAATGAATATCACCAAAACAAGGGGGCACGGATGGTAGCTTGAGACTCAGATGGGTCATAGAGATGTTAGAAAGTTTCCCTTAGCGTGAGGTTAGTGAGTAAATGGAATGACCTAAAGGAGCAGGTTGTAGAGGATAACTCCATTCATAACTTTAAAAGCACGTATGACAGGGAAATAGGTCAGGCGTATCCTTGACCTATTTCCTGTCTATTATAACATTAGACAACGAATGGCTAGAAAAGGAGGGTTCAAGAGCTAGAGCTCGATCCTACAGGCACAAATAGGCGAGTGCACATGGGTGCATGGTTCCATTCCATAGATTCTTGAGGTGGCACACAGGATGGGAGTGCTTGCAGGCGTGCCAGCCCAAACACCCTAAATAACTGGTAGTTTGTCCTGAAGGTCCAAACTAGCACCGGGAGGCATTTTGAGTGTCGAAGTCCCTTGTTAAGGGGCTTGTGCATACAAGGGTAATGTGTCACCGAGTGCCCTGTTGACATTGACCCCGATACATGACAACTGCCAGGGTTGACAAGGCACACGCCTCTGTTACTATCACATCCATCTTCATTTTAGATTGATGAAGTTAGGAAGCCACAAGTTGGAATGATAAGTAATATATCCGTACTATATTCCCTGCTGGACATTGGTATTGAATACAGAGGAGGGCATGTAACACCTTCTGTGAAAACATATTGTATTATGTACCTAATTCATGGAAAATATTGAATTATGTACCCAATTGATGAACAATATTGTATGGACATGTTGAAAATATTGCGGCATGTGAATACGTGGACAAATGTCGGAAAATATGGTATACCTTTAGAATGTGTGTGTGGGGGGTAAAATATTGAACGGTGAATCATTTGTGTATGTAGTACCCAACCACTTGGGCAGGGCGGTAGAGCGACGGTTTCGCTTCAAATCTGCGTTCAATCCCCGACCGTGCAAGTGTTTGTGCACCATTCCTTCCCCCGTCCAATCATAAATCCTTATCCCGACGCCTTCTCAGTATTATATAGTCGTAATGGGTTGGGGTTTTATCATGGTGGTTCCCTTCCCTTGTGTATACAGTACTAGGATAATGTTGTATGTTCAGGCTGTGACCATCACTGGCTGTTGGAACCCCGGCTGTGTGGCGGAGCAGTCGGAACCCCGGCTGTGTGGCGGAGCAGTCGGAACCCCGGCTGTGTGGCGGAGCAGTCGGAACCCCGGCTGTGTGGCGGAGCAGTCGGAACCCCGGCTGTGTGGCGGAGCAGTCGGAACCCCGGCTGTGTGGCGGAGCAGTCGGAACCCCGGCTGTGTGGCGGAGCAGTCGGAACCCCGGCTGTGTGGCGGAGCAGTCGGAACCCCGGCTGTGTGGCGGAGCAGTCGGAACCCCGGCTGTGTGGCGGAGCAGTCGGAACCCCGGCTGTGTGGCGGAGCAGTCGGAACCCCGGCTGTGTGGCGGAGCAGTCGGAACCCCGGCTGTGTGGCGGAGCAGTCGGAACCCCGGCTGTGTGGCGGAGCAGTCGGAACCCCGGCTGTGTGGCGGAGCAGTCGGAACCCCGGCTGTGTGGCGGAGCAGTCGGAACCCCGGCTGTGTGGCGGAGCAGTCGGAACCCCGGCTGTGTGGCGGAGCAGTCGGAACCCCGGCTGTGTGGCGGAGCAGTCGGAACCCCGGCTGTGTGGCGGAGCAGTCGGAACCCCGGCTGTGTGGCGGAGCAGTCGGAACCCCGGCTGTGTGGCGGAGCAGTCGGAACCCCGGCTGTGTGGCGGAGCAGTCGGAACACCGGCTGTGTGGCGGAGCATCAACAAAACAGGGAAGCGAACACAGTGTTACGGGTTGCATCAGCATCAGGGGCTTGACACCTCTTTAATTAAGCTTTATTTGAAATAAATTGGCCAATCCTAATTTTTATTGCCACCGCCCGTACTCCGTCGCCTATTTTTTCATGTATATTTTTTATTTTTGGGTTCGGTATTTTAGAAAAGATTCAAAATACTTTATTACATTTAATTAGAGTGAATATACTGTTTTTTATATGTGGAGTAACTTGGGTGGTCTAGGTGAGCGTTACGCTGTATGTGACCGTCACAGGTCACCAGGTGGTGGTGAGCGTGGGTCAACACCACCAGGGTCACAGGTCACCAGGTGGTGGTGGTGGGCGTGGGTCAACACCACTAGGGTCACAGGTCACCAGGTGGTGGTGGGCGTGGGTCAACACCACCAGGGTCACAGGTCACCAGGTGGTGGTAGGCGTGGGTCAACACCACCAGGGTCACAGGTCACCAGGTGGTGGTGGGCGTGGGTCAACACCACCTGGGTCACAGGTCACCAGGTGGTGGTGGGTCAGCACCACCAGGGTCACAGGTCACCAGGTGGTGGTGGGTCAGCACCACCAGGGTCACAGGTCACCAGGTGGTGGTGGGTCAGCACCACCAGGGTCACAGGTCACCAGGTGGTGGTGGGTCAGCACCACCAGGGTTACAGGTCACCAGGTGGTGATGGGTCAACACCACCAGGGGTCACAGGTCACCAGGTGGTGGTGGGTCAACACCACCAGGGGTCACAGGTCACCAGGTGGTGGTGGTGGGCGTGGGTCAACACCACCAGGGTCACAGGTCACCAGGTGGTGGGTCAACACCACCAGGGTCACAGGTCACCAGGTGGTGGGTCAACACGACCAGGGTCACAGGTCACCAGGTGGTGGGTCAACACCACCAGGGTCACAGGTCACCAGGTGGTGGGTCAACACCACCAGGGTCACAGGTCACCACCTGGTGGGCGTGGGTCAACACCACCAGGGTCACAGGTCACCACCTGGTGGTGGGTTAACACCACCAGGGTCACAGGTCACCAGGTGGTGGTGGGTTAACACCAGGGTCACAGGTCACCACCTGGTGGGCGTGGGTCAACACCACCAGGGTCACAGGTCACCAGGTGGTGGGCGTGGGTCAACACCACCAGGGTCACAGAGGTCACCATGGCTTGTTACCCCACCCAAAAATGGACATAAAGGGGAGATTAATAGGGTATTAAAAGTAACAACACAAAATAGAACAATGGGTATAAATTGGATAAGTTTAGATTCAGGAAAGACCTGGGTAAATACTGGTTCAGTAACAGGGTTGTTGATTTGTGGAACCAATTACCGCGTAACATAATAGAAGTATGTTCCCTTCTTGGCATACAGCAAGTGACATTGATACCACATTCACATAATACCCTTTTAATACAACTTAAAAGTGCATTAAGGCATACGTACGATCTTACACGTCAGCGACACTTCACACTTACAGGCAAGAAAATTAGATTTAAAACTTTTTAACAACAGTTTAGAATTTTGTATAACGTTGCATGATTTAAGAGCCAAGCAAGACTTATTATTTGTAAACACAGGAGAGCCTCTACAGCCCAACACATGCTTTAAGGAAACTTTACCCTCGTAGACATCAGAAAAGCCTCTTGTCCGCAGCACAATATAGAGACCTGTCAGAAAGTGAGATAGGTTTAACACACATCCTTCAAGGTGATACTACCAGCATGGCCACCACAGTGACACCAATCACTACGCACAACCAACTTCAGCTGATAAACAAGAGACAGGCACCAGGCGTCATAGGCTACCTTTGTAAATTATATTTCCTTGTACTGGTTCTGAGGATCCGTGTCCTCTTTGTCCTGTCTCTTTTCTTTTTTAATTGTGGTGGTTGACGGTCTGATCACAGCCCGTCCTCCTAAGGTTTCCCAACGACGAGAAAACTGTCAATTTAAAGTGTCCTCTCCTAACCTACCAGAGGACCCAAAACAGAAAACGGGACAGTACGTCACTTTCGCCAGCCGCTTTCATTTTCTAGTACGACAATTTGTCACCTTATGTAACGCATATGTGCGAAATGCGACGTTCTTAGTAAGAGAAGAGGTTTCTGGTCGACCAAACTGTTGGTCACCGCTACAGGCTGGCGGTTACGTGCACCTTGGAGGTGGTTATCAAAGCATCTCACCGGCGGGCCAAGGACGTCTCTATCACGATTTTTTCCGGCGAGTCACACCCGGTGTTGACGACCCCTGGCTCTTGACCTCCCCAGCACGACGGTGACGTCACGGGGTCACACTCCAGGGCAGGTCAGCGGTAGTGTCCCCTAGCACTTCCCCTTCACCACCTGCACTACAGGTTGACTTGACTTACTTGCGTCAAGGACTTGAATCCACACATCGCCGTATCCTAATTTGCAACACTATTCATCAAGAATTGCCAAGAAAAAAAACACTCGCAGTCCCTTAACATTATTTGGAGAAGGAGCCTAGATACTAATGTTATCCCTGACATACTTAAAACAGCGAAGATAGCGCCACTCCACAAAGGAGGAAATAAAGCAGAGGCAAAAATTATAGACTGATACCATTAACATGAAGATTTTAAAGTTTTAAAGTGCTAAGAAGGAAAATTACAAATCACATGGAATCACACCTACATAACCCTGGACAACACGGGTTCAGAACAGGGCGCTCCTGCCTCTCACAGTTGCTGGACCACTATGACATGACGTTAGGTGCTATGGAAGACAGACAAAACGCTGACATTATATGCACAAATTTCGCACAAGCTTTCGACAAATTTGTCCAACCACTTCGACTGGACGGTAGAGCGATGATCTTCTTGCAGGCCTTCAATCCCCGACCGGCCAAGTGGTTGGACCTATCCTCGTGCCCTTATTCCTTCCAAATGCTAGATAGTCGTTGTGCCTTAGTGATTTCTCATGATAATAACCGTACCTTTCGACAAATGTGACCATGGTGTTATTGCACATAAAGTGCGTTCAAAAGGAATTGCCGGGAAAATAGGCAGATGGATCTACAATTTCCTGACTAACAGAAACCAATGTGTAATAGTCAACAAAATAAAATCCAGCCCATCAACCGTGAAGAGCTCAGTCCCCCAGGGTACTGTGCTTGCTCCAGTACTTTTTCTCAGCCTCATATCGGACATAGACCAGAACACAACCTATAGCACTGTATCATCCTTTGCAGATGACACTAGGATCTTCATGAGAGTAGACAACATAGAGGACACGGCAAACCTCCAATCAGATGTAAATCAAGTCTTTCTATGGCTAAAGAAAATAATATGGTGTTTAACGAAGATAAGTTCCAGCTCTTGCGCTACGGAAAAAAAATAAAATATGCAAAAGGAAACCACGTACAAAACTCGGGCAAATCATAACAGAACGAAAAAGCAATGTAAAGGATCTGGGTGTACTCATGTCGGAAGACCTTACCTTTAAAGAACACAATAAAGTAGCCGTCACAACTGCAAGGAAATTGACAGGTTGGATAACGAGAACCTTTCAAACTAGAGATGCTATATCAAGGATGATACGCTTCAAAACGCTTGTGCTCTCTAGAGTGGAGTACTGCTGCACAATGACAGCCCCCTTTCAAAGCTGGAGAAATTGCAGACCTGGAGAGCGTGCAGAGATCCTTTACTGCTAGAATCCACTCAGTAAAACACCTAAACTATTGGGACCGACTAAAGAGCCTAAATCTGTATTCTCTTGAGCGCAGGCGGGAGATATACATAATAATTTACACGTGGAAAATAGTAGAGGGGCTGGTCCCAAACCTGCACACAGAAATAACACCACATGAGACCAGAAGGCATGGCAGGATGTGCAGAATACCCCCGTTGAAAAGCAGAGGTGCAACAGGTACTCTGAGAGAGAACTATCAACATAAAGTGCTGAAGCTTTTCATTCTACACACACAAAGGGTGTAGCTGGCCCCTCTTACAGTGTTCAGAAAAAAAAACTTGATAAATGCCTCCGAACAATACCTGATCAACCAGGCTTTGATTCACACGTCAGGCTGCGAGCAGCTGCATTTGACAAGGTCTGGTCAGAGACCGGGCCGCGGGTTCAGAGGTCCACGGTTGTTTAACATCCTCCCAGCGAGCATAAGAAATATTGTGGGAACAACCGCAAGTATGGATGGATGTATTGTGGTGGGTGTTCCCGAGATACAAGGTCAGGTCAAGAGTGTTGTGTAGTGTAGTAGTGTGTAGTGTGGAGCTGGCACCCAGGGCGACCGGTGCTGACCTCTGTGGAATGTGGCGTGACCCTTGACACGCCCACACCCTGGCCCTTGACACGCTCACACCCTGGCCCTTGACACGCCCACACCCTGGCCCTTGACACGCCCACACCTGGCCCTTGACACGCTCACACCCTGGCCCTTGACACGCCCACACCCTGGCCCTTGACACGCTCACACCCTGACCCTTGACACGCTCACACCCTGGCCCTTGACACGCTCACACCCTGGCCCTTGACACGCTCACACCCTGGCCCTTGACACGCCCACACCCTGGCCCTTGACACGCTCACACCCTGGCCCTTGACACGCCCACACCTGGCCCTTGACACGCTCACACCCTGGCCCTTGACACGCCCACACCCTGGCCCTTGACACGCTCACACCCTGACCCTTGACACGCTCACACCCTGGCCCTTGACACGCTCACACCCTGGCCCTTGACACGCTCACACCCTGGCCCTTGACACGCCCACACCCTGGCCCTTGACACGCCCACACCCTGGCCCTTGACACGCCCACACCCTGGCCCTTGACACGCCCACACCCTGGCCCTTGACACGCTCACACCCTGGCCATTGACACGCTCACACCCTGGCCCTTGACACGCTCACACCCTGGCCCTTGACACGCTCACACCCTGGCCCTTGACACGATCACACCCTGGCCCTTGACACGATCACACCCTGGCCCTTGACACGCCCACACCCTGGCCCTT